TACATGAACATTATGCCAAATCAAGTGAAGACAAAATAAACACAAGAAAGATAGACTTGGCAACATGGAAATTATTTTGGACAAAAAATGAAATGCAAAAAAGAAAAGCCACATAATGCCAAAAAATAAGTCAAATTGAGATAAGAGAATTTGGTGATTAGATGTACAATTAAAAATCATCTGTGAACTCAAAAGTAAATTTAAAATGAAAAAAATTGATATGAACATAAAAGTAAGCATTCGAAAGATCACTCAACTTTACACCTAACCTGATATGAACATAAAGTCATGTACAAAAAGGTTACTTGCGTCTAAAGCTTACCAATATATTCAGTCGTCTCTTCTTCCAAAAATTCCCTCTCAATTACCTTCCCCTCTTCTCCTTCACAACTATCTCTTTTATAGGTGCTAACTAGGGTTCTCTCACTTAATGATAGAATCAAACAAAAAAAGTAATTTTTCTTTTGACTCTTTTTCATTATTTTAGGTTTCAGATTTTTCTAATTAATTAAAGCAAATCCCAATCAGGGCATAATTTTTTCAAATCAGATTTTAAATATTCTAAATTTCCTTTAAAAAAATTCAACTTTATGGGAACATAATTAAGGGGATTTGGGGTAAAAAAATTATTATTATTAGTATCACAAAAGCCCCTCCGTTTTATTCCTTTATTTTTATTTATTGTGTTTTTTTATTAATTTTTAATTTACACTTAAAAGTCCGGATAAATGCATGTTTACAAGAGTTAAACTATAAAAAAAATTTAAACAAGTCATCTTTCATTACAATATAGTATACTCAAATTAGAGTCCAAGCTAATCAAATCTAACCTAAAATTAATTATAAAGTGAAATAAAATGAAAGAGCTAGGTCAAAGTAATTCTTAGCTAAAGGTATAGGTCTAAAATGGTGGCCCATCCTCCTTCATTCTTAGATGGATGACCAAGCAGTGTAGATGAGAAGAGGATGATGAAAGAAAAGAATACTAGTTTGGTGAGGATCCATGGCTACATGTGAAGATGAGAGGTAGGGTTTTAGAGAGAGAGATGAGAGAAAATGAAGAACAAGATGAACAAGAAAGAGAAAGTGAAAGATGAAATGAGAAAATGAATTGTGTATTATGAATCTGAATTTTTTCTTAAAGAGGAAATGAAGAACGGTTTGGATGAGATTGGCTCTCAAAATTAATTCTAAAATGAATTTGAAAAGGCTAGAGAGCTTTACCACTTTGTGTATATGCCCTTAAGTATAGCACTTTCTCATTAGTTGGATGATAATTCCTATGTTAATATGAAAATCCTCTATTGTTGTACTTAGAAAATTAGATCTACCCATTACCCCATTCATTAACCTTTTCTTATGCCACATATGGTCTCCCAAGTCCTCTTGCATTCCCTTGACCCATTGATACAAGTCCAAGTGCATTATATCACCTATGTCATATAATGAATAAAATTTAATTAAATAATATGTGTGACATAATAGCTCATATCTTGGAACATGAAATTAATTATTTAGATGGTAGAAAAATAATAAAATATAAAAATAAGGCTGCCATACATGAAACCAACTACACACATATACATGCACAAAACCTTAATGAGGTCAACAAAGTCAACGACCATGAATTATGATTTTAATTAATTAATATTTTTCAAACCAAATTGAATTTTTGAAATTTAATTTTACATTCACTCTCCTAGGCATAAAACACATTAAATATAATATTAACCCAAATTTTCATAAAATTATATTTTTGGATCAAAATGTCCTTAGTGTACAAATCTTCCCATTAGGTGATTTTCTCACTTTTGACAACATAAATCACTCAAGAGGGAATAAAAAATGACAAAATGGGTCCTAAATAGCTAGATGAAGTGTGTAAATAATGTCTTTTATCATGCAGCGTAATGCATAATAGGCCAAATTCTAATTTTATCTCTTCAATTTAAGCTAAGGTAACCCAATTCAATTTTGAACGTAAACTAATGACTAAAGCTGAACCTAATAGACCTATTAGTCATCTCTAACTATCTTCAAATTTATTTATACTTAAATTTATATAATCACCCTTTATTAGCTTAATTCATCAGGGGAATAATTTTCAAGATGTTATAGGGATCGAGCTATTGAAAGGAGGTAGGAAATTTAGGCAGCATAATTAGACGGTGTTGTTAATGCAACCTTAGGTTTGTCACTATGTGTGGTCATGGAGACAATAATCCTCAGGTGTTTGAGAAAGAAGATGAAAAATCACCAGATTCTGTAACCAATCAAGAAGGGGTTATAGCAAGAAGGAAATAGCGAGATCCAAAGCATATGAAGGTGGGAGGTGGATAAGAAGGAAGAGATAAGAAAAAGTAGTCAAAGACTGAAAATGGAGATTGAAGGAGGGTCAAAATAGTAAAATACCCTTAGTCAAACTTCATTTTAACAGTTAATAATCTCCAGATTTAACTAGGGGCATATCCTTTTTGAAAGTTACAAGGTGATATTGTTCCAAATAAAAGTTTAGTATATCAGGCACCCTTCATGGAAAAGTTCTAAGGTATTTTTACCTTTGACCTTTTTTAGAGACATCAAGATTCTTAAATCACATTTCTAAGTATTTGAAATGCAGTCAAAAAGTGTGCTAGGTCTTATGGACCATACTCTCAAGGAAGCTAATGTCAGTCTATTTGGTGCTAGCTTTTTTTTTTAAAGGCATCCAAACGTTCCAATCACATTTTTAAACAATTGAAATGCACAAGCATTATACACATGATCTCATAAACTGTATTTTTAAAGAAGCTAGTGATAGTATTTTTGGTGTTACCTTCAACGTGGCACTGGCATAACATTTATAAAGAAGAATACATTTTTTGCAAAATAAGATACATTTTTTGCATAAAAAGCAAGTTACAAACTTGAAAAAACTAGTGCAGATGTAGGCTTAGGATACAAAAATGACTGTCCTCATTAAGAGTATCAAAACAAAAGCTAGGAGCATAATGCCAAAGTTGGAAGTCCGTTTGGAGAGAGTGAGCATGCTTTGAGAGTTGATTTGCATATTTGAGTGCTTCCCTGTAGCAGTGATACAATTCAGTTAATTGGAATTGAACCACAAATCTTGTGCATGATGGATGAAATCCACAAAAGGGTGATTGTGGTCAACACCTTGATCAATAAGGTTGCAAGCTTTGATAGAATCAGTGAAAATGAAAACCTTATTTAAGCTTAGGTTCCTGCAAAGGAGAAGACCTTGGGTAACAACTTCAACTTCAACAATGGTGTTGAGGAATGGTGGCAGTCGTTGTTGGAAGCTAAGGATCTATTCACCTTAGTGATTACGAATTACTCCACCCACTGCATATTGGTTGAGATCAAAGATAAAGGCATCCACTTCCATTTTGAACTAATATTGAGCAGAGGGTAACTAGAAGATCAACTCTCTAGGTGTTTGGTTAGTAATGGCCATCCTATATTGAGTAAAAGTCACATCTTCCAATAATAGTAAGCGGCAAGCACTTCAAATTTATTGTATTGTCTGGTATCTACCTTCAATGTTGCTAGAACATATGTCCTTCCAAAAGGTCCAGCATACATGCCTAAATATTTTAATCTAAGGCTATTTTTGTGTTATGTAGTTCCTGCCTCATGCTTAGAATTCCAAGAGAGCCAAACCTACAAAGGTCCAGAAAAGAAAGTAGATAAAGAGTTAGTGTGAATATATAGCTACCAAACATCTTTAGCAATGGTGCAATCTCGAAGGATATGGAGTATTATTTCCTCACAAATATATTCAAAGGGACACTAATTATTATCATTAATCCTTAGAGAAGCTCTAAGTTGATTCATAGGTAAATGCTCAATAGAAGCTTGCCATAAAAACACTTTCATCCTTTCAGGAAGAGGCCACCGCTAGATCTTCCTCCAAACCTTCCCATATTATTCCTTAATACCAGCTCTAATAAAATTATAAGTAGTCTTAACAAAAAAACATTCCATCACTGACTGACCTCCATAAAAGAGAATCAAGTTGGTTACCATGGGGTAGAGGGTGGTTTAGGATGACGCGAATCATAGACGGGGAGAGGAATTTTTCAAGTTCAACAATGTTCCAACTTCCATAGGTTAAGGTAAAGTCACGACAGTTGTATTAGGGTTAAATTCCTTATGATTTCTTTAGATATGAGTGACAAGATATTCTTGAATAGGAGACCACAAATCAAACAAGAAATTAGTGTTTCTACCATCTTTAACATGGATACTAAGACCCTTAAGGAAGTTCTCCCAAACTTTACATATGGCATGCCAAACATGAGAGCAATTCCTTTTGGTTTAACAGTAGGCATATACCCTTAGCCACACTTGTATTTACCTCAAAGGCATTAAACCCATAAATGATTAGGTTGGTAAATAAGATTCTAGCAAAGTTTCATTATGAAGGCCAGATTTTATGAGTGAAGGTCTTTAATACTAAGACCACCCTCATATTTACTTTTATTGATGTCTTCCTATGCAACAAGATGAAGCTTCCTTTTACTAAGGTAGTCATTCCAAAGAAAATCTCTACTGCACTTCTCAACCTCCTTAATAATACATTTAGGGAGAAGGATGGATTGCATACTGTAACTAGGAATAACAGTAAGGACGAATTTAATGAGAACAAATCTACCAGCCATATTAAGGTAGTTACCTTTCTAAGATGAAAGCTCCCTTTTGCTTTATAGGAAATCACAGCAAAGGCATGTTTATTAACCCTATTGTGAAGAAGAAGAACACCAAGGTATTTCCCAAGATTGGTAGAAAGGCCAATACTAAGGAAATGACCGAGCTCAAGGGATTATTGATATAGATATTGGGAGAACAAAATATCTTGATTTTATAGAGACTGATCTTGTGACCCAAATCAGT